TCAGGAGGGTTTTTGGGGGTCTCAGGAGGGTTTTGGGGTCCTGAAAGGGGTTTGAGGAAGGTTTTGGGGGGTCTCAGGAGGGTTTTGGGGGGTCTCAGGAGGGTTTTGGGGGGTCTCAGGAGGGTTTTGGGGTCCTGAAAGGAATTTGAGGAACATTTTGGAGGGTCTCAGGAGGGTTTTTGGGGGTCTCAGGAGGGTTTTGGGGTCCTGAAAGGAATTTGAGGAAGGTTTTGGGGGGTCTCAGGAGGGGTTTTGGGGTCTCAGGAGGGTTTTGGGGTCCTGAAAGGGGTTTGAGGAAGGTTTTGGGGGGGTCTCAGGAGGGTTTTGAGGGGTCTCTGTGAGTTTTTCAGCGTCTTGAGGGGTTTTTTGGGGGGTTCCAGGTGGATTGGGAGGGTCTGAGGGAGGTTTTGGGGGGTCCCAGGAGGATTTTGGGGTCCTGAAAGGGGTTTGAGAAGGTTTTGGGGGGTCTCAGGAGGATTTTGGGGGGGTCTGTGCTCACCCTCATCATCGCTGGACTTGCTGAGCTGCTTCACCAGCTTGGCCGTGTTGTTCTGGAAAGGAACAGAAGGTTCAGGAGGGGACAAAAGGGACCCTGAGGGACACAAAAGCCACTTGGGAGTCACGAGTGCCACCCCAGTGTCCCCCAGTCCCCTCAAAGGGCATTAAATGGGACAAAAACCACCTTGGAATGGGACAAAAATGACTTGGAGTGGGACAAAAGCCACCCCAGTGTCCCCAAGTGCCACCTGAGTGTCCCCAAAGCCCCTCAAAGGACATCAAATGGGACAAAAAACACTTTGGAGTGGGACAAAACCCACTTTGGTGATTCCAAATGTCATTTTAAGGAGACAAAAGCCACTTTGGGAGTCACAAAAGCCACCTGAGGTGTCCCCAGGTGCCACCTGAGGTGTCCCCTGACCCTGAGAGGCCCCAAAGGCCCCAAAAGCCACCTGAGAAGCCCCAAAAGCCACCCCAGGTGTCCCCAAGAGGCCCCAAAAGCCACCCCAGGTGTCCCCAGGTGTCCCCAAGCCCCCCAGACCTGCTTGAGGTGGTCGACGGTGAGCGGGAGGTGCTGCAGGGTGAGCAGCAGCTGCTGCAGGAACGGGACGTTGTTGGCGGCCTTGGAGCCCGTCAGCCACGTGTTGAGCAGCTTGTAGCCCCCGATCCGGATGAACCTGAGGGGGAAAAGTGGGAATTCTGGAAGGATCCATCTGGGAGAAACTCAATTCCATCAAAATCCA